ATTTTCCTCGTGTAGTCTTCCCAGCAACTTTGTGAGTTGGGATTATTGTCCTCATTTAGCAGGTGAGAAAACTGGAGCTGCGAGGGGCTGGGTGACTTGCCTGAGGTCACAGAGCCATGCAGGGGCAGAGCTGACCCAGGGCCCCTTTTCAGATTACGGGGATTAGAGGTCAGACCCTGCCCCCTCAGGCTTGTTGGAGAGGGAACCGTTTTCATCAGCCCTGGGTGCACCTCCCTGGCCACTCCGCTATCAGATGTTGGGCAAGGAGGTGTCCAGACACACCCGTACCCAGCTGTGCCCAGCCCCACGCTGCGCCTGGGGCCCAGGAACGTCCGGTCCCCCGTGCTGGGAGTAGTCCTGGTGTAGCCCTTGCAGCAGGAACTCGGTTTGTAGGACACATGGGTGGGGGCAGGGGTTCACATGCCTCGCATAGCCAGTCTCCAGGAGAATGTCCCCACTAAGCTGGGGCACAGCAGGCAGCCCTCCCTCAGCTGGGCAAGTGTCTCTGGAGTTTGGGTGTGGACTGGCTTGGTGTGGGGACCGGCCCTCAACAGCGTGGCATCATGGAAATGAGGGACTCAGAGCCCAAACACCTGCCTTGAGTCCTGGTTCCCCTGACCCAAGCAAATGGCTTAACCCCTTTTGGCTTCACCTTACCTGAGTTTCCTTCTCCGTGAAATGGGGCTGCCCATCCCTGCCTTGTCCGCCTTCCTGGGAAGTGCTGTGGACAGTGAAGCCCCTGATAGGCAGGAGGGGAGGGGATTCCTTTCTGGGTGTAAGAGTGCTGCTCCGGGCCTCCGGCAGCTCCACTGCCCCCACCCTCCCCAAACCTAGGAGCGAATGAGCTGTGTAAAATAAGCGGTACCAGGGAGCAGCTATTTGAATTGGCTGTTGGGAACTTTTCTCTATGGGACTAGTCAGCTTACTCAATGGCCTGCCTTGTCTCCCTCCATGAAAAAAAGACATCTCTGGAGGTAGGGGCTCTGTTCCCCTCCCAGGTGGGAAAACTCACGCTCACGGAGGGAGAGAGAAGCTGCCCCCGTTCCCTCTCCACCCCAGCTCCAGCGTCCTCAGCGATGGGGCGGGGGTCTTCTTGGCAGGCAGCCCAGTCTTTCGTGGGCATTCAGCCGCCCTGGGGCCTTGTTCATTCATGCAATAAACCTCCATGTGCTGCTTCTGTCACGGCCCTATAGAGGGCCCTGAGCACACAGAGGAATCGGGCCCCAACCCTGGCGCCCAGGAGACACTGGCAGAGGAGGATGGCCAAATAAACAGACAGCGGCTGCAGTGGGACTGGCGCGGGCGGGTGTGCAGAGTGGGTGGTGGGCCGAGGCAGGCCAGGGGAGGCCGGCAAGGGGGCAGAGTGGAGCTGGAACTCGGCTGGACACTGAGGCTCCCTGCTGGCCCCGCCTGGGACTGGGTGTGAAGGTGGCAGTGGTGGCACCTGACTGTAGCATTGGCATTCAGCTAGCTTCAGCTGGACCCCTCCCAGCCACAGCCGGGCCAGAGGAGGGGCTGACAGCTGAGCGGTGAGGGCTGGGCAGGCCTGGGGGTACCCAGCAGAACTCTCACTTCCATCTGCGGGGCAACTTTACCAGGGCTGTCACAAGCTGGCAAGTGTCTAGGCGGTGTCTTCAGGAGGGTGGACACCAGACTGCAAGCGGTCAAAAGACTGTAAAGTCCATCCTCCCCATCCCCATAGTATAGATGGGGAAACCGAAGCCCGGAGAGGTGAGGTGACTTGGCCAAGGTAACACAGCGATGGCACAGCTGGGACTGGAACCCCAACACGGCTACCACTCAGCCTATCGTACAAGATGCCTGCCCCTGGCCTGCCCTCTGAAGGAAGACAGGTCCGTCGTTTTCCCCTGTCTCCTCCTAGCCTTCCCCTACTTTGTCGTGGGGGAAAGACAGAAGGAACATGAGGGACCTGTAGCATAGGGACAGGATGCAGTCCTGAAAGTTGGGGCTGAATTGAGCCCAACTCTGCCACCCTAGAGGCAGACCTAATGACCTTGGCCATGTCACTTCCCCAAGCCATTTTTACCACCATCAAAATGGGACAGGCCAGCTCCTGGGGCCGGGCTCTGTGGCCGGCCACGTCGGAATCTTGCGGCAGGAGCCAGCGGAGCAGGCCCAGGCCTGAGGAACGCAGTGGTTGCTCCCTCCTGGACTCCCACAGGGATACCTGCCATTCCTCAGTGGACCTCACATTTCCCACTTGGTTGCAGAGCTGGCTGTGGGCCATGGCTGGGACCGGGCTGGGCGAGAACAGCCTGGGTAGTATGGAAAGGCCTGGCTCTGGCTGAGGTGCTGAGGGGCTTGCGGGAGTCCCTTACGCCCTCTTCTCCCGGTCTGGGTGAGGGTTGGACAAGGTGGCCTGCAGTTCCTGCACTCTGCCCTAATCTAATTGTGAGAGACCTCTAATAAGCTTAGCAGACCCAGGCCTCTGCAGATGTTTCAGTGGGGGATATGATACCAATGCGGAATTACTATGGGCCTCCTCCCACGCAAGCAGCAGAGCTCCACATAGTGGTAATGACCGCAGCCAGTTGACTGGCCCTGACACAAAGGCAGGGCCTTGACCCCAGCGCCCTCCTTAAGCTGTTGGCCTTGGGGTCCTGTTTGCAGTAGGAAGTGGTCAAATAAGACAGCATCTGATGTCCTTCCCTCCATGGCCTTGTTTCCTCTGGCCGGCGAAGGTGGAGGCCCCCCGGCTCCTCCCTCCGCCCCTGCTCCCATCCCAGACTGACCCTACCTGAGACTTTGGACTGAGGACCTTGTTAAAATGCAGGTTTTGATTCAGCATATCCAGGCTGGGGCCCCAGATCCTGCATTTTTAAACAGCTTGACATACCACACTTCGAGTAGGAAGGTGCTAGAGTCCATTCTGCCTTCTCTTCAGCCAGGGCACCCAGCCTGCCCCAGACCCAGAGCCAGGACTTGCCTATCCCACAGCCTGCTCTTAGCTGCCACGGCCCCCGCTTCACTTCATCGGGCACAGCTCAGAAGGCAGGCCAGCTGCTAGGGGACGACTTGGAAGACCAGCCCTTGGATCAGGGCTTCAGGACTGCGCTGGGGCCTCATTTCCCTCCCCCATGTGCCTCCCCAGGCCACTCCCCATTTCTGAACAGATTACTGGGTCCTGAGCACAGGCCACCCTTGGGCCTGCTGTGTCCCATGGGCACTTGGCACCTGCTGTGGGGGAACAGGTCCTGAGCAAGGGGCGGGTGGGGCGGGGGGAATCCCAGACTCCTACCCTGGCTCTACAGCCTGGATAAGCCAGTGCGAGTCAGTGAGTGCTCTTCTCCTCAGTCTCCCGATGGTCCAGATGGGTGATCTAGGTCACTCCACAGGTTCCTCAGTCTCCAGGATGGGTTGTCAGGAAAGTGCGGAGGTGGAAAAGACCTGTGACGGTGAGATTTTTATATAGAGAGGGTGAAAGAGCAGTTTGGGACGAAACCTCTGGAATGCCTCTGTGGCCCAGCATCCTCAGTTGCCTGTGTGAACTCACATACTGCTACCTAATAGATGCTGCTGAGTGCCCAATATGTACCATACCCTGGGGATATGTCAGGGAGCCCCCAAGGTCTTCCCTGGGGTCACAGCAGTGAGTGGGACCAAGATTTGGACTGGTGTCTGACTCCTGCAGTCTCAAGCCCCCTCCTGCTGATCCATCAGAACCAGGTAAAGAGGACAGGACTCATACGTCTGCCTGGTGTTCCTCCTAAAAGTCAAAGCAGTTGTTGACTTTCAGCTGATGAGAGTTCTGTTCCTTTCTAAACTCTGTTGTGATCTTGTTGCCCTGTAGGTTTTGAAGAAATGCAGAAGCTTGAGTGTAAGCCTCTAACCCACTCTCCCCCGCACTCCCAGCAGTAGGCCAGGGTGACAGGTCATGGGACCCTCAAGGGCAAAATGGTGATTTAGTGCGCAGGGCCTTGCAGAGATGGGGTGTGAAGGAATGTTTAACTAGAACACAGTAGGCACTCAGCGAAGATGTGTTGAGCGAAGGACCTGCAGTTGGGGTTCGGCAGACTTGGGGTGTAAAGTGGCCCACTCCTTTGGTCCAGCTGCTGGAAGGAATGGGATATGGTTTAGGAACCTCGCCCATGTTCCCTCCCAGGGCTGCCTTTCTTGCTGTCACCAGGCTCTCTGGTCCCACTGTCCCTCAGTCACTGAAGTCCAGGGTGTCATCCTGGGGGCCCAGCCGCAGAGATAATTAAGGGAACACATCTTGTCTTAACGTCCAGGCTTGGCACTTGCTTGGCAGCGAACATAATTGCAGCCCTTAGTGTCCCGGGCTGCCTGAAGCTCCGCGGCTGGCAGGTCCTTTGCGGAAGCCAAAGCTCAGGCCTGATTCCTTTCTGAGCCCCAAGCTCTGGGCACTGAGACGAAGCTGAAAGTATGAATCCCTCTGGAGATGTTAGTGGTTGTGGTGTTGGTGGTGTTGGGGTTGTGAGCAAGAGTCAGCTCCTTTGAAAGCGTGTCAGTCCTGGGGATAAAAGGGGGTGCGATAGGGACTTGTGCTGCTCAAAGTACAGTTGGAGGAAAAAAAAAAAAAAACATTGCAAATTGGGTGTTGAAACTCTGTCCTTGGCCTCACAGACACAGATAGCAAAGGTTAAATATTTGTGCTAGATCAAGATAAAGGATGGGGACAGGAGTTGGGTAGGGGTGACAGGAAGGAGGGGAACTGGAGACTATGGGGAGCCTCCCCCCTAGCCTCTTTGGCTGCCTCATTTGGTCTCCAAAATGATCCTGTGAGGGGACACCATTCCCACTGGGTATGTATAAAAATTGGGGCACAGGGAGGCACATAACAACAGGCCAGAATTTGTAGCTACTGGGTGGCAGAGCTAGGATTTGAACCTGTGTCTGTCTGATTTTGTGGCCCATGCTCCTCTCAGCTCTAGGAAGGTGCCTGTGGGAGGTGGGTTGGTGCTGGGGACTCTGGGGCTGGAGAGAGGGGCCAGCAGGCTGACATCTGCCCTCTGCTGCAGGCACTGGCTCCAGCATCCTCTCCGCCCTGCAGGACCTCTTCTCCATCACTTGGCTCAACAGATCCAAAGTGGAAAAACAGCTACAGGTCATCTCTGTGCTACAATGGGTCCTGTCCTTCCTCGTGCTGGGTAAGCCGGGGCTTCAAGGGCGAGGGCAGGCAGGGGCCACCTCCCCAGCAGAGGTTAGAACAGGAGCTCTGTTCCGCAGGGTGAGGGCTAAGGTAAGGGCATCCTCCCACTTACCACCTTTGGGGTCCCCTGTCCAGTGCTCTACCCCTAGGCACGCGTGAGGACTCCATGAGTTTCAGTGGGAGGTGATGGTATGGTTCCTGTTTTATAGATGAGAAATCCAAGCCCAGAGATGGTACACAACTTGTCCAAAGTCACACAGATTTGAAATCAGGTCTGTAGGACCCCAAAGCCTCTGTCCCCCCGCCCCCCTCCCCCCCCCCCCCCCCCCGCTTCCCACTGACAAACATTTTCTGGCAGGCATGTTGCTTTGCCTTAGTGTGCTTAATGCTGGGTTTGAGTCCTGACTCTACCACTGACAAGCCCTGTGCCCTTGCACAGGTTCCTTGAGCTGTCTGCAAGTTAGTTTTCTCATTTTGAAGGTGAGCAAAATGCTGCCTAATTCTTGTGGCTTTTGTGGAGATTCAAGATAAGGAATGAGAGCATATAGCACAGGGTACAGTCACAGCGAGCCCTCACCCACCTCCTGCTGAGCACAGTTCCTGGCTGCCTCCTGCAGCCCACCTACTGCTTGCTCCCTCCTCCCTCAACACCGCCCACACCTGTGCTTCAGTTGCTGCTTCTGCAGGTCCAGGTTGGGGCCCTCATTCCCTGGGTTGCCACCCAGACCAGGGTCAGGACATCGTGGAGTGTGTGGGAGGAGGAAAGGGCTCACGCCTGGACTAGCCCCTGCTCTCCCAGCAGCCTCTTCTCTTCCCCAGACCCCTGCGTCTCCAGCGTAATAAGTGCCTCTCGCAGAACATGGGTAGACAAACCTGCTGCAGAGAAGCATAGAGTACATTCCAGGACCTGTGGGCGAGTCCCTCTGGGTGACCCACTCTTCAGGACTGTCCAGTTTGATGGGGATTATCAGGAGTTACCCTGTCAGCGCTGAGCAACTGTCCTTCCAGGAGGCCTGGGGGACTCTGAGACTGCATTTCCAGGGTAGCTCTGGGCAGCCCCCGTGCGGGGCAGAGGGAAGAGACAGGAGTGCTGTTTACCAAGCGCCCTACAGTGTACCAGACACTTGCTGGGTTTTTCTTGGACTTCCTACTTCACAGGTGAGGAAATATAAACTCGCAGAGGTTCAGTGAGGCTGGGAAGTAAGACTCGGACACAGCTCGTCTTCACCTTTAGGCCCAAGAGCAGACTACAGGGTGTCCATGAACCCCTGGCATGAAATGCAAAATTATATGTGAGAGTATATGCACACTTTTCTGGGGTGAAAGGCGATTGCTGTCCTCATATTATCTTTTTAAATTAAAAAAAAAATTTACTTACTGATTAGAGAGAGAGAGAAACATCAATTTGTTGCCCCACTTCTTGATGCATTAATTAGCTGCTGCTGGTATGCGCCTTGACCGGGGATCACACCCACAACCTTGGCGTATCAGGACAACACCCTAACCAACTGAGCCACCTGGCCAGGGCTGTCCTCAGATTCTTATAGCAACATACGGCCTCAAAAAGATAAAGAAACACTGGTCTGGGGAATACAGCAAATTAAACCAGGTCCCTCAGGGCTCAAACCCGCTTCCTTGGCCTGCATTCGGCTACTTATTTAGAATCTTAGAGTGGAGGGCACAGTGTGGCCCCTCCATTTTTAGACAGGAACTAGGGGACCAGTAGGGGTAGAGCCTTGCCCCGAATCACATGGGAAGGAAGAAGTGGGATCAAGAAAAGACCCTACAGGGTCCAGTCACCCAGACCCCTGCCTCCTCTGATGTGTCAGCTCCCTTAGTCCCCGTTTGCACTGAGAAGCTGCCACTTCCCCTATCTTAGTGGGTCAGAGCTTGGCTAATGGGGAGCTGAGCAGCTGATAAGAACCACAACCCAGGCAACACACGACAGGCCCCGGCCCCAAGCTGCAGGTTAACAATCCATCAAACACAACCACAGCCCAGAAACCAGCCCAGCATCTTCCCAACACCTTCATGTATGTGGGAGCCCAGCCTGGTTGGATGGGCGGGTCTGCTCAGTGGCTGCTAATTACTGCCCTGAGCAGCGCTGCCTCTCCCTCCTGCTGCCACCCAAAACTGCTGGCAGAGGCTCTCCTGGTGCTGCAAAGGCTGCTGTGGCCCCATCAGCCTCCCTCTGGAACAGTGAGACTCTTCACCACTTTTCTGCCGCAGACTCCTCTGGCATATTCTGAAAGAGGCTATGAACTCTTCTCAGTGCCTTCAAGGGTGTAATACAAAGTACATTGGATTGCAAAGGTGGCCACTGATACTGAAAATTGATGACATTTAAATATAAATAGGCACTCATTAGGAAATCAAATTAGCCCTGGCCGGGTGCTCATTTGGTTGGAGCTTTGTGCCATGTCCAAAAGGTTGCAGGTTTGATCCGCAGTCGGGGAGAATACAGGAGGCAACCAATTGGTGTTCCTCTCTCACTTTGATTTCTCTCTCTCTCCCCCCATCTCTTTCCCCCTCCCTCCCCGTTCCCCTCTCTCTAAAATCAATGAACATATCCTCAGGTGAGGACTAAAAAAAAAGAAGAAATCAAATTAGACACACAGTAACCCATGTGCTTTTTATTATTACAGTAAATGAAAAGCTCTGGCAGCAGAAATAATCATTACTCTAATTCTTTAGTGATTAGAATAAATGATTTTCAAGATACCTGCAACTGCTTTAAATGTGATATAAAAATACCTTTGTTTTCTTTTTTAAAAAGAGACTTTATCTTACCTTTTTTAAATTTATTGATTTGAGAGAGAGAAGAAGGGAGAGAGAGAAACATCAATTTGTTGTTGCACTTATTTATGCATTCATTGGTTGATTCCTGTTTGTGCCCCGACCAGGGATCAAACCCACACCCCTGGCATATCAGGACGACGCTTTAACTAGCTTTAGCTACCTGGCCTGGGCCAACACCTTTGTTTTCTATTGTTGTCACTGTCAACAGTACAGCTATTACTACCGTGGTCTGTTACGTTAGTAAATGAAGGAAGCACCAAATTTACATAAGAGATGCATAAAAATTAAGATGTCACCTTTTTTTCCTATCCAAGGCCATGGATCTTTTGATTGGACACCTAACTATGTGTTAAGTCCTCTTCACACATCACCTCATGTAATCTTCCCAACACCCTGTAAGGAGATTGAGAGGCAGGGACGGGCCGTAGCCAGTGAGTGGAAGGGCCAGGGCGTCATGGAAGAGCATATGCGTGCTCTTCAGGGGCTCTCTGCTGCCTCACTGTCCTGCCCAAGGGCCTCAGGGACCAGAGTTTTCAATCACGAGCTTCACCATGATGTCTGGGGAGGGCGGGATTGTGTAGGTGGTCCTGAGCCTTCCACAAGTGAAGCCGGCAGGGCCTTTGAACAGTTGTTTACATCTCGTAAACCCCACAGCGCTGGTTCCTGTGCAGCCCTCTGACCTACGAGGGTGGAGCAGGGAGCAAAAACTAGCATTGCCAGAAACTAGGGTTGTCTCTGAGAAAGGAAGGTCATTTGGTGGGTTTAGTTCATTTTTTGCTCAGTAAACCTTTCCTGTGTTGGTTGCTGGGCCTGGAGGGGTTAATCTGGGCGGGCAGCGGCTCCTGAGGGGCTCAGGGGCTCAGGGGCTCAGGCGCTCAGGGGCTGTCTGCTGGAAGGAGTGCGGTGGAGAGGCAGACAATGAGTCTGAGAGAGAGAGGCTGTGGGCACACAGGGATGCAGGCGAGTGGGCACCCCGCCCCCGGCTGAGAAAGTCCTGACCAAGAATGCAGTCTCCAGATTCTCCTTCTGTTCTCTTTTCCTCCACCAGACTTAGCACCAGAGCAAGGATAGTAAGTAGGGATTCCCACCTGCCCAGAGAGCCCAGACTTCTAGGGTGGGCCTGAGGCTCAGCCTCCCCAGTCCAGCTGCCCCTCAGGAGAATTAGGGGGTGATAACAACTAGGTTTCTCAGCCTCTCAGCCCTCACCTGGACCTCACGGCCCCACCCAGGCCCACCTGGCTTCTTTACGAGCTTTATACCTGCCGGCCTTTTCCCAGGCCTGGGGAAGGGCACCAGTGGCAAACTGACCAGTAATGTGCGTGACTCTGTAGGTGGCCTTAACTTGGACATAGTCATTCACCAAATTGCCTCAAGTTCTTTACAGTTTGCCTTTAACAGAGTTTCATAGGCTGCTAATGCTTCCCTGGACACTCATCTTCCTGTCTGTGATATCGCACTCCTAAGCTGGTCCTGAAAAACTGGACACCTGGTCACTTGATGTTCCCCGCCCCTCCCTAGGTAGTCGTGCCATTTTTAGCTACCTTGGGGAGAGGCCAGCTCAGGAGTCTAGAACAGGACTGGATTATGGATGACAAAGGACTGTCGTTAGACCCACGGAGAGTGCCTGCCTGGCCCTTCCCTCTCCTTTGGGAAACCAAAGGAGGCTCTGCATGGTGGGGAGAAGAGAGCGTGGAATCCAGAGCCAGGAAGCTCTAGAGCGCCCCTGACCAGCACAGGGTCCGGCTGAGGGTGGGCATGCGGCAAGGGTCGGCTTCCCTCCCTGGGCGGTGGAGAGGGTGCTGGATGGAGGCCTGCTTCTACCAAACATGAGTACCTGCTGCCCTGGCCCTGTGCTGAGAGCTAGGGGCAAAGAAGATATGGCCTCCAAGGGTAGAGAATTCAGAGGTGAGGTGAGGGGTCCATGTGGGAAGATAGTATCATGTTGGAGAACAGTCTCGAAGAGATGAGCGCTGAGCTTCTGAAGGTTTGAGAAACATTGGAAAGGGAGAAGCCTCCTGAGGGCACCTAGGGATAAGCCCTGAGGTAAAGTAAACCCGGCTTGGCATGGACCTTCCTTCCTCTCTGTGCCAGGTTATTCAACCTCATGGCTCGCAGGCCCAGAACAAAGTGATCACATGGAGGCTGGCCCCAGGGAGTCTTCTAAGTATCCTGCTGGCGCTTTTCGGGGGGGCTGAAGGGCTCTGGCTCTGGCCTGGCACTTCGCTGTGTCATGTTGGAAGGGGCCAGCCCTCCTCCTGGGGCAGGAATCCTCTCTCAGGTCCCTCCAGGGCCGGCCTGGGGCTTCTGATTTTTGGTGAATTATTAAAGCCTGGTGCAGATTATGGTTTGAATCCTGGCTCTGCCACTGTCTTGCCTGGTGACCTTGGGCAATTTACCCCCTCTCAGAGCTGCAGTGTTCTCATCTCTAAAATGGTGTAAAAGTAACCCCGCCTCACACGTGAGACAGTGGCTCAGCCCATGTCCTGGGATGTGGAGGCACTTGGTAGGTCCCTCCCCTTGTCCACAATAACTGTGCTGGGCACTGGGGTGGAGAGAGCATTCAAGGAGGAGACAAAAAGGACAGCTTCACAAGAACCCTATTGCCCTGACAGCACGCAGCCCACATGCCCCTTAGTGCCAGGACAGCCCGTCCGAGTCGAGGAGATGAGGCCCGTCCCTGTGAGCCCGCTCCTCCCCAGGCTATGCCCATGGCCTTGCTTGCGCCGTGCTTAGTGCAACAGTAAACGCTCACGTAGTCACCCGGCGAGCCTTTGCCCAGGGACAGCTGAGGCCCTTGCAGGGAGGACGGGGCCTGACCTGTGGCCTTCTGCCTGCCCCCCAGGAGTGGCCTGCACCATCATCTTCATGTACACGTTCTGCACCGATTGCTGGCTCATCGCGGTGCTGTACTTCACCTGGTTGGTGTTTGACTGGAACACACCCAAGAAAGGTAATGGCATGGGTCTCCCTGCCCCACCGCCTCGCTCTTGGAACCTTCCCTCTTGCACAAGCTGAGGTTCCTCGTTGTGGGTGTTGCCTCTTTTTACTTAATGCCTATTATGTGAAACACATTGGACTAGACCAGGGAGTAGTTTGGGGTGGGGGGTTTAAAAGCACTGCAGAGGGCACCGTCCTGGGCCCCTTGTAGGAGCTCACACTCAGTCAAGGGCTTGCCTAACGGGAGGGAATGAACACGGAGAGGGGCCCGGGCCAGGGGGAGAGGATGCTGCAAAGGGCAGTAGTCACCCACCTCAGGGTTTCTGCACACTGCCTCTGTCCTGGCTGCGTACCCAGACATCGCCCACCCCCATTCCCACCTCTTCCCAACACTGTATTTTGTTCTCTGAAGGTGGCAGGAGGTCAGAGTGGGTCCGAAATTGGGCTGTGTGGCGCTACTTTCGAGACTACTTTCCCATTCAGGTAAGGATTTGTGAGTGTTGTCTTGGGAGGGTGGGAATGGCTGGGAGGTCTGAATTTAAGCCTTAACCTACCCATGCACAGTGATCACCCATGCTGAGCTGCACCATGTGGTATCTCCCACTATGAGCAGCTGTCTATACTCTTCCCCAATTTATACAGGATTTGAGCAATTTAGGGTATATACCATGCCACACCAAGTAAACAGAAAAATCAGACTTGGGGAAAAAAATACTACTATTTCAGCCATAAAGGTTAACAGAGTAGGTGGTTGAGCTTCAGCCTTAGTTCTGAGCTCCCTGGCAACGAAGGCAAAAGGGGAAACATAATAGCTATTGGTTCTTATTTCGGGAAAGGAAGAAGCTTACTATTTCCTTGGGGAAACAAGGCTTGTTCTGGCCTTTGAATCTAAAGGATGTGCCAGACACTGAAGTCCTGAGTGATATAAGGAGCAGGTGTAGCAGCAGATGTTATGGTCATTGTTTGTCTGCCTTTCATTGAATATTAAAGGCACAACTTAAAATGTGAGGGGATTTATCAAGAGCAGTACTTAAGTAGTGTAAGTTCATTTAGCCTGAACCAAGGATAGCACTGAACCGAGCGTAACAATAGGTGGGACGTGCTTTCTTTCCTTTTGAAGCTCTTACAGAAATATCGCCATGGCGACTGCGTCTCCAACTGTCGCAGGCGGGTCACTGGCCGTCATGGCTGTGGGAATTAAGGCCCAGGAAATTTGATGTGCAGTGGAAGGAGAGCGAGACCCTAGTTGCCGAAGTGCTCGGGGAAGGCTTCTGGAGGAGGTGCTCCGATAACTCCATCCTAAAGATAAGGGGCACCGAGGGGGCAGGGAAAACAATGAGAGCACAGGCACCTGAGTTTGCAAAGAAGCCTCTGGAGTGCAGAGGGACGGTCTCCATTTATTGGGAGACTTCTAGGAGCCGACACTTTCCCCACAGAGTCTCCTGTAAGGGGTACTTACACTATCCTTTTTTTTTTTTTTTTTTTTTTTTTCAAATTATAAGAGAGGGTTTATTTAGAAAGTTACAGTGGCAGTAGAAGTGAGCCAGGTGGGCTGCGGAGGCTCAGGAAACAAATTACAGGGGCAGAAGAAGGGTCCTTGGAGCTTCTCCAAGGAAATGTGCCTGACAGGGCCGGGGGGCGGGCAGGGGGAGAGGAAGGGCACGGGTGTGCTCCCCACAGGGAGAGCGCCAACTGTATCCTTTTAACAAAAGAGGAAAGGGCAGGTCAGAGTAGCAGAGCTGACTGAAGCCAGCAAGGGCTAGAGCCAAGGTTCCGAACGCTGCCTGGCCTCGCAGTCTGGGCCCTGCCCACCACAGCACACTGCCCCGCTGTGCAACAGAGCCCTGGGAAATTAGCTTGGGCAGACACTCAGGCCTCCTGCAGCGTTGGAGGACGGAGGCAGGAAGAGCCCAGTCTGACCCTGGGTGAGGCGCTGTCCCTTCCAGGGTTCAGTCCCCTCATACGAAGCAACTTTAGACCAAGTTGGTCTCTAGGTTTCCTTCCTGCTGCACCATCGGCTGCTCAGGGGCCTCCACACTGGTCTTCTGAGAACTGAGAACCCATCTTCTCTTTTCTCGGGGGCCAACCTCTAGGTCCTGACAGAATAAACGGTGGCATGGTCTGGCTTTTAGTCTCACCTCTGTCCCCCTGCCTGTGGTCTGCAAGCTAGCTTGGCACCTTGATCCTGGTGCAGTTGGGTGACACTTGTGGATTGTCGATAACTCTGTCAGAATCCTGCAGGGGAGGGACCTGTTGGGCCAGCTCAGTCAGCACCCAGCCCTGGCACACCCTACCTGCTGAGGTAACCCTGCAGAAAGCAGTGGGTTTAAACAGTGGGGACAGCGTGTGTGAGTGTGAAAGTGTGCATGACGCAGGGTGGTGTGTATTTGCTGTTCTGAGTCAGTGATTGAGACACCCTGGCATGCTGCCTGGGGCTGGGGGCTGGGTGACCCCCACATTCCTCCACTGCACCCAGTATAGTGTGGCACTCCCAGAGCCAGCTCCCTCTGCCCACCCCAGCCTGAGCCCACACCTTCCAGAACCTTCAGGGTCAGGGTTCTCACTCCTCCCTTTTGCTGACCCCATCTCTGGGGCCGTGAGGAATTCAGGGCTGTTGTTGCTGGGAGAATGTTGCATCATAGGACCCAACCCTTTCATTTTGGAGGTTAGGACACCATCCCAAAGAAGGGCGAGGACTGGTCCAGGTTGCATAGCGAGTGCTGGTACTGGAATCCAGGCCCCAGGTTCTTTCCCACTGAATTCCTGCTTCTCCTTTCTCTGGGAGAGATTCAATCCCGGATTTCCCCATCGGACTGGCCCTCACTTCCTGTTCTCCCTCTCTCCGCTTTGCTATTGGAGACCTGGGTTGACTTCTTGCTCTGTGACTCCATTCCCTGAGCATCAGCTGTTGCCTCTTGTGCAGGGCTGGACATGGAGGCACAGAAGAGTCAGTCCTGGCCCCTGCCCTCATGTGAGCTCACGGTCCTGCTAGACTGTGTCACTGTCTGCCCATGGGACCACAGGCACACATTCTCAAGCTCACAGCCTCATTAGTCTCATGTGCAAAATGACAATGAGCTGTACATATGATAAAAAGTGGTAAGTTATGGTTCATTGTGAGAAATTGTGGACTCTGTTCTCTCTGCTGGGGCCCTCACCTAAGGGGCCAGACCTCAGTGTTGAGTGGCCTGCCCCCTCAGGAGGCCTTCTCAAGTCCGATGACCCCCTTACTCCAGAAGACAGTGACCCGGTGACTGCTGGTCAGAACTGGAAGGGGCAGATGCCCTTCCCCACTGACCTTTGCCCATCTGAAAGAACCAAAACAAAATCCAGTGTCCGTTATCACAACTCTGTTCCAAAACATCGGTAGGGAGTTGGAACCACAAGACGCGTTTGAGTTGGCCCTGGGAGACCTCTGGGCATGAGGCCCAAAGTCGCACTGGGCTTCAGGCCGGCCAGGACACGGAGCTTCAACCTGGGCTTTGCTCTTGCCTGTACGTGACCTTAGCCAAACTCCTGCCTTTTGGGGTTTCAGGCTCCTCTTCTGACATCAGGGCTGACGCTCTGTGGAGAGTCATTTTTGACTTTCCTGTCTCACCCCCTGTTCCCAGCCTCTCGCCAATGGTTGTATAATGATCTTTCATTCTATCCATCACCCATACCTCCCCTCTCCCTTACTGGTGAAGCTCTTTGCCCTTTGCCACCAGAGCAGCTCAGCTGGCCCAGAGAGCATCCCTTCTCCCAGCAGAGGTGGGTCTCAGGTGTGAGCAGCAACCGCCAGGCCTACTGGCTACCAGGCAGAGGAGTGGGCGGTGCCTGGGTCTAGGAAGGATTTTTGGAGAGGAGGTTACAAAAGACTCTGAGCTTAGAATCCTCTGTTTGTCCATCTGCCTCATTTTGTGATGGGCCTACTGAGGCCCAGAGAGGAGGGCCTGCCCCAAGTTCACAAAGTCAGTCAGAATCAGGGCTGGAATGGGAACCAAGGCTGTTGGCTTTAGGACCCAGGTTCTCACTCCCCGTTCCCACGGTATCCACATGCCCTGCTGCATGAGCGCCGCAAGCTTCTGCTCTGGTTCTGAGTTTCCCTCGATGCGGTGGCAGGGTGGCACAAGACTACCCGAGCAATTTTCCTGCCCTGAGAGGCAGAGTACAAGGAGTGACTCGCCAGGAATGTGTCCCAGGTTCATGTGAGCCAGCAGGCCTGGCCTGGCCACCCCCTTTGACTGAGACTTTGTTCTGGGAAGCAGGGGACACAACAGCAGGCATGTCAACAGAGCCTTTATCAACAGTGTCCTTCCTCCGGGATGGACTGTCCAGCCCTCAGGGTGGAGGGTATGGGACAAAGACATACCGAATCTGTGTCAGATGGCTGCCGCCTTCTGGGCACTGCACCAACACCAGGGGACATTTGTCTGCACTGTGCTCCAAGGCCTCTCATTTAACCAAATGTCCCACCAGACAGAGGCTTGGGAGGGGGGAGAAATGATTTAAAGAGCCATCTGGGGTTCCACCAGAGGACACATGTACCACCCAGGCCCTGGGAAAAGCATAGCTGGGTGGCCTCATCAGAGGTGGAGAATGTTTCACTGTTACCCCCAGGAAAGCAGCGACCCTTCTCTCTAGGCCTCGGTTTCTACTTTGTAATGGAAGGAATGGCCTATGGCAGAGCTCTCCCAGCCCTTTCTGTGCCTTTCAGCTCCCAGGCCCAGCTCAGGGTCAAGTTTCCAGTGCAGCACTGGTTGCTTGAGCTCTTAGTTCAGCACCTGCCTTTTTTGGTGGAAACTGGCATGGGTGCTTTTCCTTTCTAGCTTTGCTGAGCGTTAACGTGGTGGGCAGCCCTGCTCTTTAGGAGGCAAAACCTCAGAACTGCCGTCTTGCGGCGCCCATCCAGCTGGGCTCCCATTGGACCCTCCCACTGCCCCCACCCCATTAGCTGCGGATTAAGCTGCTGCTGTTCCCCATTTATGTGGTCGGGAGTTGAGAGTTGGTTCGGTTTTTGAACAGCTTTAAAATGCTTGCCAAAAGCAAAGTGGGAGAAAGAGTAGAATGTCTCCAGCAACAGGAAGTGAAACTCTGCAGGCCTTGCTCACCCTTACACGTACCGGCCGCCACAGAGCTGCCCTGGCTTCTGTCCGCCTCCGGCCTGGGTCAGACTGCCGTCTTCCCAAGCCCAGCCACTCCCACCCCGCATCCCCAGGCAAGCACAGTGTCCTTCCCTCTGCTAGGAGCTTCCCACATCTGGAGTCACGGAGAACTTGGGCTCTTTATATTCTGTCCATGGCCACTGGCTCTGGCACCAGTGCATGGAAGTGGGCATTTTCCAACTCTGCAGGTGGCAGCGATGACACATCTTCCTCTTTAGAGAGTCAAAGCAGCCCACGGGACCAAAATATTCACACCCTTTGAAAATATCTTATATAGGGCCATGCAACTTCTAAGTGGCTGGGTTAGGTCTGGGGTCCAAGTGCAGGGCTCTCTCTGTTTATTCGTGGCTGTGCAAGGGGAGGCGATGCATCCAGGGGCAGCCCTGACTGTGTGTCCCCTCCGCCCCCCAGGCATCTGCCCTGTGAACCGGGACACCATAGACTACTTGCTGTCAAAGGACCCCAAAGGGTATTTCTAGAAGTTTGTCTCAATACAATAATCAGATATGTGGATAAAAACAAGGTATTTATGGAGGCATTATTTCTGAGGGAAGTTTGGGAAGTTTTTTAAAGGCCCATCAGTTGGGATTTGATAATAGTTCCATTACATGTAGCATAGCTGTGTGAGAGAATAATATAGCCATGAGAACACATATTGCTGAGGAATTTGATAAGGAAAAATAGATAGGATATGATAATGCTTGGCAGGAAATTATATAAAAATGATATCAACCATATGACCTCGAGAGTGTGTGTGTGTGTGTGTGTGTGTGTGTGTGTGTGTGTGTGTGTGTTTAAAAAGCATGTGAATATTTGAGTAGAAAAAGGACTCAACACATCAGAGCTTTTTACCTGGATGGAAGTATGATAGGTGCTTTTGATTTTCTTTCCTTTTTTCTTTTTTGAATTTTCTGTATTTTGAACATTATGTGATTGTTCATTACTTTTCTAATCAGACAAAAAAGTGATGTTTTCCTGAACAAAATACCAGTGCTCTCTGCCCCTCTCAGCACCCTCGCCTCCGTCATGTTTGTTTTGATGCTGGGTTGGCACATCTGTTGCGCAGGGTTTAGGGAAGGAAACTTTGCACCAGCCACACCACCCTCTCACCCTTAAACCAGGACAGGGGTGGGCTCTGAGAAAGCCAATCGTTCTTTAGAGCATCCCAGGACAGCTTTGCTGAAAGTACCACGGGTCAGCTGCCCAGCTGTACAGCTGACTTGCCCCGCCCCTGCCCCCGCCCCCACCCCCGTGGCTGGCACAAGGGCTGTTGCTCGCCCTTGTCCTTCCTGCATCAGAGCCCGAGCCGAGCCTGGCTGCCTGGAAGGAAGTTTCCATCCCAGCGAGCCGCACTTTCCCTGCTCTGGCCAGACCAAGGGACTTGGACTCTATCCCAGTGGGAACTGGAGAGTTACAGGGATTGCACTGGGTTTTAGAATAGTCACTCTGGCTGTCGTGAGGAAGATGGGCCCAGAGGGAGGGAAGACAGGAGGCTGGCAGAGTGCAAATAAGAGGACCTAGAGTGTTTGGCTGGAGAAATAAGGGGGTCCCCCCCCGCCCCTACCACTTCCCAGGGACTTGCAGTCCAAATGGCAACCGACAAGCACCCAGCACCGTGGCCTCAGTGATGACAGTCTGAGGTCAGGTGCGGAGAGTCACGCCAGTCCTTGAGGCCCAGAGCCCTGGGGGGTATGGGAAGCCCAGTGTCTCCACCGTCTGGGTGTGCCCCAGACCCCTCTCCCAGCCGGTCTTCTCACCTAAGGTTTTCCCTGCAGCTGGTGAAGACTCACAACCTGCTGACCACCAGGAACTACATCTTAGGGTACCATCCCCATGGCATCATGGGCCTAGGTGCCTTCTGCAACTTCAGCACAGAGGCCACGGAAGTGAGCAAGAAGTTCCCTGGCATAAGGCCGCACCTGGCCACACTGGCTGGCAACTTCCGGATGCCAGTGCTGAGGGAATACCTGATGTCTGGAGGTGAGAATCCATCTCTGCTTATCCTTACTGGGCTCTGCTCTCAAGGTCTGAGCCTCTTCAATGTGCAAGGTGACAGATTGGCCTGGAAGCCAATGCACCACCCTGGTCTGGTGCTGAGAGATGCAGCCTGCCGCAGGCACGAGGGTCAGGGTTGAGCAGGAGGGCTGTTCATAAGGTCTTCAAGATTCAACTTGGATAACAGCTTCCCTAGGAAGCGTTCTCTGGCCATTTTTCGGGGCATCCCCGCTCCTTTGCTGCCCTCTGAACAACCTGATCGTTGTCTATGGCTCTGTCATTATCCCCTGGCCTGTGACCCCCGGCAGCCTGATTCGTTGGGCTTCCCAGCACCGGGCACCAGCCTGGCAGAGTCAAGGCCTGACAGTATTTACCAAATGAATGAGTTACCTGAACAACCTGTGTCATTATCCCCATTTTACAGATAAGTAAGCCAAGACTCAGAAAGAAAATAGCTTATGTAGGACCATGCAACTTCTAAGTGGCTGGGTTAGGTCTGGGGTCCAAGTGCAGGGCTCTCTCTGTTTATTCGTGGCTGTGCAAGGGTAGGCGATGCATCCAGGGGCAGTCCTGACTGTGTGTCCCCTCCGCCCCCCAGGCATCTGCCCTGTGAACCGGGACACCATAGACTACTTGCTGTCAAAGAATGGGACTGGCAATGCCATCATCATCGTAGTGGGGGGTGCAGCCGAGTCCCTGAGCTCCAGGCCGGGCAAGAATGCCGTCACCCTGCGCAACCGCAAGGGCTTTGTGAAACTGGCCCTGCGACACGGGTAGGTGCCTCCCTGCACACGAACATACGCACGTGCACCACACTCCTCCAGGGCTTTGCTTGGCCCAGGGCAGCAGCCCCTTGGCTCCTGGAGGCAGGGCCCAGGCCCCAGGAAGGCATAGAAGAGAGTTCGCCGTCCTGTGTGGGGCCAAGGAGGTTGGAAAACGAAGTTTGTCCAAGTGTAGTCTTGGTGTCTGATTGAGACAAAGGTGCGGCCTATGTGCCCTGAGCCCTCGCAGGGGGCCTGAGAGGCCAGGTTTCTATGTAGGACAATGCCCTGGGGCCAAAAATGTGTCATACTACTAGGAGAGCAAGAGACCAGAAGAGAGGATGGCATGGCTGGAAACATCAGCGGAGGCTCCCTGGAGGAGTGATACTAAGGACAGGCGGAAAAGAGCTGGGCAGCTTGGATTTCTTAGAAAACTAGAGACACGTTCTGTGTAGTCACCTGTTCACATTCCATTTGACCAAAGCACATTCACTTCTAAGTCCCTTTGATTCCACAGCAATCCTCCAGCTGATAACATCCCCATTTTCCATTTGAGAAAACCGAGTGAGGCTAAGCGACCCAGTAGGGGTCACATTGCAAAATGAAGGACCAAGCTCTTTGGACTCCAGGCCCACTGTTTTCTTCCAATATCTGGGCTCTGGGCCACCTCAGGAGGAGAGCCTTGGGGTGACAGACCTCCAGCAATGATGTTCTGGAGAGGGGGAGGAGGCAGCCTGCAGCCACACACAACTTAGAGCTGGCACTAGCCATCTCGGTCCCATCCAGCCCTCCTCTCTGTCCCCTCAGAACCTCATCTCAGGCTTCAGAAGAGGCTGCTCTTCAAGGCCCAGCCCTGTGCCAGGCACTGGGGACACAATCAGACCCAGTTCCTGCATTCAGGGTAGTAGGAAGTAGGGAGGGACAGACAGTGACAACACAGCGTGCTGAAGGCTGTGACACGGAACTGAGAGAGGCTTGGGTTGGATGTGGGACAGGGAGAACTTTCCAGCAGAGGCAGGCCCCAAGGATGAGAGGGGACAGGCATTCCAGAGCAGGGCTTCACCCTTCCCTTTGCCTAGTTGCCCTAAAGCCCTGATATGCTCCCCAGTCACCAATAGGGGGCAGAGGGCCCATCTAAACCTGGTCGTGAGGGGACACATGATTTGGGATCCGTCAGGTGACTTTGCCACCGCTGTGGCAGAGGGGAGCTTGGCCGGTGTCCAGGGCCCCCAGGGCTGACAGGAGGAACTGAAGCCAGTGATTGGGGCGTGACAGATCGTGGCCTCTCCCTTCCAGAGCCGACCTGGTTCCCACCTACTCCTTTGGAGAGAATGAAGTCTACAAGCAGGTGATCTTTGAGGAGGGCTCCTGGGGCCGGTGGGTCCAGAAGACGTTCCAGAAGTACATTGGCTTCGCCCCGTGCATCTTCCACGGCCGAGGCTTCTTCTCCTCCGACACCTGGGGGCTGGTGCCCTACTCCAAGCCCATCACCACTGTTGGTGAGCCTCCCGCCTGAAGACCCTGGGCCTGGGGTGCCACAGCTAGTTCGTGTACAGTTAGGATTCCAACCCAGGCCACCCGGCTCTGAGGTCGGTGCTGTAAACCATGAGGACATGTTGGGTGCTACCATGTGGGGATGGGCGGTGAAGCGGGGGTGGAGTTATTGGGAAAGTTTTATTACTGTGAGCCAAGCTGTGCTAGGTGAGAAAACAGGACATCAATAGTTTTGTGTTTGCAGAGACCAGGAGTCTGTGAGGAAAGATCCTATTACAGCAAAGATCAATAGGGGGTGTGAGCAGGACATGCAGAATGCTTGGTGGAGGGCAGTTATAGTGGACCTCGGGGAGGAGGTGACCCTTACACTGTTAGCTGAATAGGAATTATCCAGCCACAGAGGTGAAGAGGGGATAGAGTTTTTGTCAGAAACAATGGCCTAAGTGAAGTTCCTACTACAACAAGACTGTGTAGATTTTTGAGGAACAGAAAGGGAAAAAATCAATATGACTGGCGCATAGCCCTGTGTTGCAAAAACTGGCTGCACAGGGCCCTCAGCTATGTTGTTTTGGGTTTATTTGGGACCATTTAGAGGCTTCCAAAGAATTATCTCTTGTAGGTCTGTATATCTGTGTTAATGGTTCACAAGCTAGAGATCACACAGGAGCCTATGGGCCACAAGCCATGGACTTCAGGGGCCAAAGCTCACAGAGATACTTTGAATTTCAGAGCCAGGTGTTCTGCTTTGTACTTTATAGAAGAACCAACTTCCTGCATTTTAGGTCACATGACTCATATCGGGCCTGAGCTCTGTGAGGCGGCAGGCATTTTCATGTCAGGGATGGCCGGATGGGGGCAGGGTCCTGTGGGCGTTGTAAAGGAATTCTCTCTTCACCTTAAGGATGGAAGACTGCTTGAGGATTTGGGGAAGGGAAGGTTCAGATTTGCATTTTAAACTTTTCCTTGGTATATACTCTGGTTTCTTTTCAGATCATATAAGTATTTCTCCTTTTAAAGTGATCTTGGGGCTGCTGGATAGAAAATGGATTAGAAAAGGCCAAAATGGAAGCCACAAGACCGGTCCCGAGGCTTTTGTGGTAGCTGTGGCTTGAATCAAGAGCATGGCCACGGAGAGGAGAGAACTTTAGAGAAATTTCAGAAATGTCTTTGACAGGACTTGGTGATGAGTTGGGTATGGAGATGAAACAGGATTAGGAAATAAAACAATGCACAGAAGTGTAAATGTTTGCCTCCTCCTCCCTCTCCAGCCTTAATCACACTTCTCAAATTATGTCACAATTTTACAGAATCCTTAGCAAAGTCCTCTGAGGAAGGATCCCCCTGTGATAGGTGAGGAAACTGAGGCTCCGAGAAACGAAGCGACTTGCCCAGGGCAGGGCAAAAGCAAAGCCCTTCCCTGATCCCACAGCTCTTGGAGACGCTCCCAGCTGAGTGCAGCGGGTACAGCTGGTCTTTATCCTGCTTACTGCTTAGTGGCTCTGTGGCCTTCGGCAGGTCCCGTCCCATGCCACAGGGCCTCAATCCTATCATCTGTAGAAAGGACAACATAAAACAGAGGGTGCTCAGCACAGTTCCTGGCACACGGTTGGCACCTAGCACAGCGGCGCTGCTGTCATCTTGGTGAACACCCAGGGAGGGCGGGCCGAATGGCACTGACTAACCCGAGGCCTCTGCTCCGTCTCTGCAGTGGGTGAGCCCATCACCATTCCCAAGCTGGAGCACCCGACCCAGCAGGACATCGACCTGTACCACGCCATGTACGTAGAGGCCCTGGTGAAGCTCTTTGACAAGCACAAGACCAACTTCGGCCTCCCAGAGACTGAGGTCCTGGAGGTGAACTGAGCCGGCCCGCAGGCCAGCTGCCGGGAGGAGCCTGCTGCAAACTGCTCTCTACCAAGTTCTCGAGTGCTTTTTGTTCTGTAAATTTGGAAGTGTCATGGGTGTCTGTGGGTTATTTAAAAGAAATTATAATAATTTTGTTAAACCATTACAATACTAGGTCTTTTTTAAGAAGGAAAAAGTGAGTGTTTCAAGCTCTTTCACTTCCAGTTTGTCCTGATTCAGGTGGCGGCTAACACGTCTTGGCCTTTAGGATTTCTCAACCAACTCTTCTTCCCTTGCTAAAATCAGACAGGAAACTCAGTCGCGGTTAACTGGGGCAGAAGGACAGCCATTAGTGACTCAGGCCAGTGAGGTCGTTTGCTCTTCGCCCCTGGAGGATGAGGAGCAGGAGCTGCTTCTAATGCAAACACCTCTATTCCCAGCTACCTTGACTTGACTGCAGGACTAGTCCCTCTTGCCCAGGGGAAGCCTCGAAAGGCACAGTTGTTCCTATTTTGAAGAGTGCAGTGATGAGCATCTGGACTGTTCCAGCTTGATTCTCCTTTCTGCCACTTCCCAAACCCTTAGTCTGTCATAGCTGAGCCTGGACTGGCCTCCGGAGAGACGACGGGGGTGGTGATGAGCCTCTGCTGGGAAACAGGGCTGTTCCAAACGCACCATCTCTTGGATTATCCAGCTACCACGTTCTGGTTGGAGTGACTGGATTTCCTCGGGTGGCCGATGATATAGACCCAGCACAGAGCCAGCCTTGGCCTGAGTCCCGTACTTTCCAGGGGCCTCAGTTTTCTTAACCTGCACCTTGGAGAGTGGGTGTCAGGAAGGGGGTTGTCTTCTTGTTCACAGAGGAGCCTGGCCTGCTGAGCAAGAGACTGGTTTCAGGATAGGAGGCCCCTCAACCCAAGCCTCACATATATGTGCCTTTTTGAGAGGATGGGGGCCAGGGAGGAAACCCAGCCCCTCCTCTCTGTGTTCTGTTTTTCTCTTGATGAGATCATTGTACCATGTCAGACTTTTGTATATTCCTAAACAAATAAATAAAAATAAGTGTCCTCTGAGTTCTTGCTGCGGCTACATCTGCATCTTGCCACTGACGCTTAGGGAGACCATGGCCCCCGTCAGGCTTCCTGCCAAGCCTTCTCTCCCATGCTCCTTTGGCCCATTTGGCCCTGTGTGCTGTATTAGTTATCAACGGCTGTGTAACAAATGATTCCAACACTTAGTGGCTTCAGGCAACACTGCTCACAATTTTAGAGCGCTTGTAGTCGAGGTATGGCTTAGCTGGGCCCTCTGCTTTCAGGGTCTCTCACAAGGCTGCAGCCTCCTCGCAAGGCTCGACTCGGGGAGGATCCACTTTGAAGGTCATTCATGTGCTCATTGGCAGATTCACTTCCTCACTGGCTGGTAACCAGAGGCCACTTTCAGTTCTTTGCCATACAGGCTTTTCCAGAGAATATCTCACAGCGTGGCAGCTGGCTCCATCAGAGAGGAAACATGATGAGTCAGAGAACAATGTAGACAGAAGTCACAGCTTTTATACCCTAATCTTGGAAGTGATCACCTGTCACTTTTGCCATATTCTCTTCATAAGATGCAGATCACGACGTCCAGGTCACACTCAAGAGAATTACAGGTGGAGTGAAGGCCCGGAGGCAGGGGTCCTTGGAGCCCCCTCACAGCCGCCTCTCACATGTGCTAAGGGGCTGCTGTCCAGCTGTGCGGTCTCGGGAAGGCTGGCCTGGAAAGATCCCACGGATCGCTCAAACCACGTTCCTTGTCCCTGGCCTAAGTTACACCACAAAGAGGGAGACCTGGCCTGCTGTCACTCTAGTGATTCCGTACCACACCTAGGTCTTCCACCTCCCTGTTCTGATTCCATTCAGTTCAGTGAGTACTAAGCACCAGGGAACCCTTTCCAGTTGAGCCCTAAGGACCTCGTTCCAACTTTCCCACTGCGTAAAGGTCTGGCCTTGCCATTCGTCCACCTCAGGGACTGCTCTTCTGTTTCAGAAGCTGTGAGTGGGATCCACGGGAGCTGAAACAGACATTAGAAACTGCGGAGGATAGACGGTGGTCAGCCCTGTGACAGAGATGCCCCTCCCCCAACCTGGGGTGCCCCATTGAACTGGAACCCTGATACCTGAGCTGGGACACAAAAGGTGACTGGAAGTTTGCCAGGAAGGAGTTGGAAAAGGGCAGAGCAGGAAGTGCAGATGGAGGAGATAGTGTAGCTGATTTGAATGGCTGAGAGGTGGCGGTAGAGAGGTGTCCCCAGAGGTCTGCAGCGGGGCTTCCCTTAGAAGGGTGGGGAGCTGTCTGGCTTTGCCAGAGTCTACGTGGGCAGGAGGGCAGGGCAGAGAAAGGAGATGCCTTAAAGGGGCCAATAGAGGCTGAATTCTGTAGCACCATGCAGGCCTCAGGCCACAGAGCTCTGGTCAGAGGACAGACACTTCCTTCAGGATGGAGGAAAGGCCTGATGTGTGATGAGCCTCAGCCCCACCGCAGCCCCAGTCTGAGGCCAGCCATGACCCTCAACCTCCAGGCTAAGTCCTAGTTCTAACCTAGGCCACCCCACATACATTGTTATTCTCAGCATTAATTTTGTGAAGATTGAACAGTTGTACACTAGGGAACTCCACCATTTCCGCCTACGGAAGCGACAATAACCAGACTCCAAAAGTAGGAGGGATCACTTCACCTAGCTCAATGTATGTCTAGAGCAGCCTGTGCGGAGCAGAGGCCAGCTTCGCTCTAAGTTATATGTGGAGAGATCTAGGTAGATGCTGTGAACTTTGCCTTGGGTTGGGAGTTGTTACCTTGGTAGAGGGAACTGGAACTTTCTTTTCTAGAAGACCTCCTGCCTTTAGACAGTGGGAGTAGGGCTGCCTTCTCAGCCTGAAGGTCAATTCCATGATTCTGCTTGTCGTTCCCCATATGGCCACGAGGGGGCAGTAAAGATGGCTCTGAGACAAATCCCACGCAGCCTCCTAAGCTTTCTGTTCACATTTTAAGACAACCCAGTTGCTTCCTGAGCTAGACTCTAGAGATAATAAAATCACAGACACACAGGAGCTCAGAGCTAGACAGGAATGTGGCATTTATCTAGAGAAACTCCCCTTAATCTGGGAAATTTGACATAGAAAGGCAAGTGACTTGCCTCTAATCCCACAGCAAATCAACGTTTACAGCATGCCTCTTCTTGACAGGGAGTGAGGGGCTTCCACATTGAATGTCCCTTGTTCTCAGGTGTTTGTAATGTAATAAGGGGGGCAGTAATGTAAAGCATTCATTTTCCTAAAAACCTTTGCCTTTTTAAATATTCCTTACCTAGGTTCCAGAAGCCACTACTGCCCACCTTTCAGCAAAACCAAGCAGTCTTTTTATTTATTGATTTATTATTAATTTTATTTTTAAATTACATTTACATTCAATATTATTTTGTATTAGTTTCAGGTGTACAGCATAGTGATCATACAAACATATACTTACAAAGTGTTTCCCTCAATATTTCCCATACCCACCTGGCAACATAGTTATTACAATATTATTGACTCTATTCCCTATGCTATACTTTACACCCACATGACTGTTTTGGGACTACCAATTAGCACTTCTTAATCCCTTCGCCTTCTTTGCCCAGTCCCCCAAGCCCTCAGCCCTCTGGCAACCATTGGTCTGTTTTCTGTATGTATGAGTCTGTTTCTATTTTGTTTGTTTATTTTGTTCTTTAGACTCCACACAAAAGTGAAATAATACGGTATTTGTCTTTCTTTTTTGACTTATTTCACTACATCCACCCATGTGGTCACAAACAGTAAGATTTCATTCTTTTTTAGCCAGCCATTCAGTCTTGATGGACTCTTTTTTCCTCCACCTTCCTTCCCCTACTGCCCGCTGATAGTGCTATTGAAATTTTTGTCTCAAACGTTTCCCTCCTTTCTCACCCTTAATAACATATACTTATGACTGTGGGACCGAGTCTGTGCCACTGCCATTACCAGCTGCATTGGCATGTCACTTAACTTCTCTGAGCCTCAGCTTCCTCGCCTGCAAAATGGGAATAACCTATATTCCTGAATAAATAAGAGAGTATGTATCTAAATATAGGATTGACCTATAAATGAAAAGCCTCTAATCCCTCAGCAGGAAATGGTAGCTGTGGTTGTCACCGTTGTCATCACACCCTCACTGGGTCTCCCTGACCTAGTGAACTGAGCTCACTGTTTCCAGGCTGCTCTCCAGTTCACTGTTCCTGCAGCAAAGTGGCCAGCTTGCCCTCCTTCTTTAAAATAGAAGTTTTATTGAGCTATAACTCACATATCATAAAGTCCACCCTTTTTAAATAGATAATTCAATGTGTTGTAGTATATTTGCAAAATTGTGTATCAATCACCAATCTCTAATCCCAGAACAATTTTATCACCTCCAGAGGAAACCCCATGCCTATTAGCGGTTGCTCCTTATCACCCCTGCCTCCTCAGCTCCTTGCTGATCACTAACCACTGATTTACTTTCTCCCTGTATGAATTTACCTAATCTGCACATTTCATATAAATGAAATTACATAATATGTGGACTTCTGTGTCTGGCTTTTTTCACATAGCATAATGTTTTTGAGGTCCATCCATGATGTAGCATGGATCATGAATCAAATGTATCATTGGTTCTTTGAAGCACAGATATTTTTTAATCTGATATAATTAAATTTATCTAGTTTTTTCTTTTTTTTATAGTATGTGCTTTTGTATCTAAGGAGCCATAGTCTGATCCAAAGTCACAAAGAATTGCTCCTATATTTGCTTTTAAATATGTTTAGAGTTTTCAGCCATTACATTGAGATCGCTGCACTATTCTGAGTCAATTGTTGTATATGGTCGAGGGTCCAACCTTTGTTCTTTTACATGTGGGTATCCCATTACTTCAGCACCATTTATTAAAAAGGGTATACTTTCCTCATTGGATTGTCTTGGCATTTTGTCCAAAATCAATGGACACATTTAAGGCTTTATTTCTAGATTCTCAGTTTTATTCCATTGGTTTATATTTCTATACAGCACTTACTCCTTGGTTACCTTTGAAATTAATTTAGAAATTGGGAAAAGTGCATCCTAACTTTATTCTTTTTTGAGACTGTTTTGGTTATTCTGTGTCCCTTGCATTTACATATGAATTTTAGGATCCATTTAATACCTGCAAAAAAAAAATGACAGCTTGGATTTTAATAGCGATTGCATTTGAATCTAAAGATCAATTTGGTGACTATTGTCTTTTCATTTATTGGTGTTTTCCTTCATTTCTTTCAACAGTGTTTTGTAGTTTTCAGTGTACAAGTTTGCACTTCTATTAATTTTTTTCTAAGCATTTTATTCTTTTTAATACTATTGTAGATGGAATTGTTTCTAAATTTCATTTTCAGATTGCCATGTTAGTGTATAGAAATAGTCAGTTTTTGCATATTGATCATGTATCTTGCAACGCTGTGGAACTAGTTTATTAGTTCTAATAGTTTCTTTGTGGATTACTTAGTGTTTTCTGTATACAGAATCATGTCATGTGTGAGTACAAATAGTTCTACTTCTTACTTCCCATCTGATGACTTTGTTTCTTTTCTTGCCTAATTGCCCTGGGTTGAAGTTCCAGTACAATGCTGAGTAGAACGGGTGAGAGCAGACATCCTTGTCTTGTTACCGATCTTAAGTGGGGAAAGCTTTCAGACTTTCACCATTCGCTCTGTTAGCTGTGGGGGTTTTGTCAACCTTTATCAGGTTGTGAAAGTTTTCTTGCAGTCTTAGTTTTTGAGCATTCTTACCATGAAATGATGTTAGATTTTGTCAGATACTTTTTCTACATCTACTGAGATAATCATGTTTTCTGTTCCTTATTCTATTAATATGGTGTATTACATTAATGAATTTTTGTATGCTAAACCAATCCTTAGTAAAATCCCATGCTGTATAATCCTTTTCATACGTTTGGATTGGTTCACTAGTATTTTGTTGAGGATTTTTATGTCTATTCATAATGGATAAAGGATAGTGGTCTGCAGTTTTCATGTCTT